CACGGGGGGCTCTCTTTGTCTTATCTACTCCAAATAAAAAGATGGAAGAGGATATTTTTCCATGTGGAAGGGCATAGAATATAATTGTAAATGGAGTTGATTTTCCTCACTTCACACAGTTGAATTGCATTGACATTGTCACTAATTTTCAATGCTGGGCTCAGGACTCAAAGGGTGTACTGTGAGTTGTTTCTTGAATTTGTATTGTGCTTCCAAAAGTAAAGGCAGAATGAATCTGTGTCCTGAAAAGACTAATGGAGCCTTTAGCTGATTTTAATTAAATAATTTCTCTGTCTTGTGACATTTTGCTTTGATATAAAACAAAAACTCCAAGTTTTATTTCTTCAATAAAAAAATTTGTGTTGTCAAACTTTTCACACTGAAAAACAGTCCCATAGTTTAAAGAAGCAAGGGTTTCTATTGGCTCACAGTATAAACTAGTTTACTCTGTGTTGGCTGACTCCACTGTTTTGAGGGCAAGGTGACCCAGAATATTGTAGGAGATGTCTGTCGGCTCATCTCACCAAGATGGGGAAGCAGACAGAAGTAACAAAAGGGGGTGGGGTGAGACATGGCCTTCAAAGACATGCCCTCAGTGACCTCCTGCCTCAGCCAGCTTCCATCTTCTAGAGCTCTGTTGTCTCTAATGCTATTCAGCCAGCCTCCATCTTCTACAGCTCTGCTGTCTGTAATACTATTCAGATTTCTAATCCATCCATGGATTCAATCACTGATAAAGGCGGAGTCCTTCTAACAGTCCACTCACTTCTTCAAAGCCCGACTTGCTAAATTTGGGGATCAAGCTTCTAATTCTCAAATGATACTTTCTATGCAAACCAAAGAGTGGTAGAGGTAAGCCAAGCTGAAAATGTAATTCCATGTTATCTTCATGTCTGCATCCTGTAGCTTTTGTGAGAAGTGTCTCTAGCAGTTACCAGCCCCACAGCTCACTCCCACTCTTTTGATAGCAAAACCAGTTCAGTGGGTTGTGATGTTCTGATTTTGTCCAACGACAGAAAATGATCAGTGGTAGTATTAAAGTTTGAATAAAAAATTCTGCCTCCAGGCTTATCTCTGTGAATTCGAGACTAGCCTGGTCTACAGAGCTAGTTCCAGGACAGGCTCCAAAGCCACAGAGAAACCCTGTCTCGAAAAACAAAAAACAAAAACAACAACAACAACAAAAATTCTGCCTCCAGATACTATATTCGTCTTTCTAAATAGGACAAGCAGGGACAGTTTCCAGGATCCTTGTCTGTGTTTACACCAGGTATTTCCATTTTCAAAATCTTAGACCCTACTCCAATGCTTTAGGAAGGAGGAGGTTCCTACACATTCTAGCTAGCCCTGAAGTGTAACAAGTGAATGCTTTTCTCCAGTTAGTTCCTTTATTTGTCATTGAATTTCAAGCTTCTTTGACATAACTCAACAGTATGCACTATATCCCAGATTCCATTTGTGGTAGTTTCCAATTTGTTAAACCCAGTGAATTATGTCTGTCAGGTCAAATACAATAAAGATGGCAGAAGGTGGTAAGAAATAAAAAAAATTCCTCAAAAGAAATCAGCCAATTTAGTAAGTTTTATTCTTCCATTGTGTCTTTTTCTCAGTGTGAAGAATAATTAGCCACTTCCCTAATTGCTCTGTGTGTCTGAGGGGGGCTTGTTCTTACTTCTATGTTCATCTGGTACCCAGCATGTTGGAGAACAAGCAAAATTAAACTCTATGCATGGAAAGCATGAGCTTTTCTGTGATGCTGAGGATAAATAGGCAAATATTAAGATAGCACATGCAAGCTGCTATCTGCACACATATATATCACTCACAGATTTATTAGACCAGGGAGGTGCCAGAAAGTTAGCTGAGTGTTGTTTGGAGCACTCAAATGGTGTTAAATACTGTTTGGTCTACTTGGGTAATTTTAATCAGTACATTTCTTTCTCTTCTTTTAAATTTTTACTCTTTTTACAGTCCCATTAAAAACTGAGATATTAAAATATTGGTTTAATCAGAATGACTTCTGACCTTACCGGGGGCATCACCACCACATTGCCTGGTCAGGCTCCAAAGCTATACAAAAAAACCCTATCTTGAAAAACTGAAAAAAAAAAAAGGATAATTTGCAGGTAATTTTCACACATCAAAGCGAAATCTATGTTGAAGTCAAAATTGAAAATCCCGAATGAAAGAGAAATTAACTATTAAAATTAACTTTTATGAATTTTCAAGTTTCACCACAGTTCTTAGGGACTTAAAGAAGGTAGTTAGTCAGCCTTTGGAAAAAGCAGGGCTTATAGTCCTTTATGCCTAATCATTTTAAATGGTATTTGTCCTAGGAAATAGTACATCACATAGTTGCACAGAGAACTCATCTCTGAGAACTCCGATAAGCTTGCAAATCAGTGAATCTTGGTTGGTTTCCTGTCTAATCACGAGATGAGGACTCACCTCAGGTTTGCCGGGGACATTTCAGTGAGACCATCATGAGAATGCAGCCTTAGGAAGAGCAAAGCTGCCAATAGTGGATTATGGATGGGGATGGGAATGGTGCTGAGTAGCTAAGCAGAGTTCATCTCTTTTTTGAAATATACTTTATTGTTTTTAACTGAGCTATACATTTTTTCTCACTCCTGTTCCTTTATCCCCTCTCTCCTTCCACCCTCCTCTTCTGCACCCCATGCTCCCAATTTACTCAGAAGATCTTGATTTTTTCTCCTTCCTACTTGCATTCATGTATTTCTGTCTTAGGGTCTTCTTTGTTGTCTAGATTTTCTGGGGTTGTGGGCTGTAGGCTAAAAGCCACTTGAAAGTGAATATATATTTGTCTTCCTAGGTATGCATTATCTCACTTGGTATTTTTTTTTTAGTTCTGTCCATTTGCTTGCAAATTTCAATATATTATATTTTTTATCACTGAGTAATATTCCATTATGTAAATGTACCAAATTTTCTTTATCCATTTTTTTTCAGTTGAAGGGCATCTAGATTGTTTTCAGGTTCTGGATATTACAAATAATGCTGCTATGAAGATGGTTGAGCAAATATCCTTGTGGTATGATTGAACATTCTTTGGGTATATGCCTAAGAGTGATATTGCTGGGTCTTGAGGCAAATTGATTCCTAGTTTTCTGAGAAATTGCCATACTGAATTCCAAAACAGCTGTACAAGTTTGCACTCCCACCAGTAATAGGGGAGTGTTCCCCTTACTCTATATCCTTTCCAGCATAAGTTGTCATCAATATTTTTGATCTTGGCCATTCTTAGAGGTTTAAGATGGAATCTCAGAGTTGTTTTGATTTGCATTTCTCTGGTGGTTAAGGATGTTAAGCATTTCCTTAAGTGTCATTTGGCCATTTGAGATTCTTCTGTTGAGAGTTTTCTGTTTAGGTCTGTAGCCCATTTTTTATTGGATTATTTGTTCTTTTAATGTCTAGTTTCTTAGTTCTTTTTATATTTTGGAGATCAGCCCTCTGTCTGATGTGGGGTTGGTGAAGATCTTTTCCCATTCTGTAGGCTGCTGGTTTGTTTTGCTGACTGTGTTCTTTGCTTCACAGAAGCTTTTCAGTCTCAAGAGGTCCCATTTATTAATTGTTTCTCTCAGTGTTTGTGCTACTGGGGTTGTATTTAAGAAGTAGTCTCCTGTGCCAATGCTTCCCACTTTCTCTTTTATGGGGTTCTGTGTGGTTGGTTTTATGTTGAGATCTTTGATCCATTTGGACTCAAGTGTTGTACATGGAAACAAAGTTCATGTTTTAAATGATAAAGTGATAAAAATGTTAATTTTTGTTTGGAGGTAAAATATGTTTATTCATACTACTGAAACCAGTCATTGATAGCAAGGAAAATGTAATACTAATAAGTGACAATTCTAATGTATGAAAATTGATACATAGTAATCATGGTATCAATTTTTAGATATTTATGAATTAGAAAAGCAAGTTTCACGATAGAGTGATCACCAACACACAGGTGTGTACACACACACATTACGCACGTGAACACACATGAGTGCACACATATAGGATTAGTCTTATTCACTGAAGAGATTGTAAAATCATTAAAAACTAATCTCTTGCTAGTTTTGGTATAAAAGAAAATAGCACAGACTAGTAATAACCAAAGATTATTTCTACACTTTCATTTGATCTATACAACACCATTAACAGCAAATGGAAGTAAATGACTATCAAACAAGTTACTGTAGTCAATGGCTTCCTCAAGGGTGTTTCAGCAATATAACATCTTGGCGGAAGGTTACCACAAGTGTCTTTAAGTATAACAGGGGTCTTTCTAGTGTTATCTAGGGATTTTGGTTTATGTGAAATGAGGGGTGTTTCAACTTCTGAGCAAGTATAATCACTGTTCCTCAGGTCTTGAGGGTATAGTGGTTTTTGAGTAAAGTCTATTTATAACTTTTTAGTATCATAGCATGCCTGCTCTATTTCTGTGATTCACTCTAAAAAATAATGGGATGATATTATGAACATGGATAGATAAGAATCAGAGATGCTGCTCACTGGTAATTGTATCTAAATATAAAAAACCAGTCAGTACATTACTGTGCGCTATCATTTGCCATGGCCACACTGAAGAGCCCCATGACTGCAGCGCGATGGATGCTTCCAGGAACCTCCAGGCATCCTGAAGATGACTGGAGTTGTTATTACCAAGCGATGCCAGCAGCAAGATGAATTGTAGGAACCTGCTCAAAATCAGTCTTTAAGATTCTCTTGCTTACATTACCCCAGGGGCATACATAACAAATAGCTGTGAAAATCTGATACAGTGAGTGGTTGAATAATGTCAATGGCCATGTGACTTATTGCTTTCTGTAGCTGTTGGGGGAAATGATAAAATTCCACTTGCAATAATCAATACAATTTTCCTAAATCCCAGTGCTCCAGAAGCTTCAGGGAAGGTGTTTGCTTCATCATAGAGCTGAATCTTCATCCTGACTTAGGTTGAAATCACCTTCTTTCTTTTTTCTCCTCCTTCCCAGAAATGTCATCCCAACAGTACCAGCAGCAACGTCGAAAATTCGCAGCTGCCTTCTTGGCATTCATTTTCATCTTGGCAGCTGTGGACACTGCTGAGGCTGGGAAGAAAGAGAAGCCAGGTAAGTAGTGGAGTCGCAGAGAGACGCTTCCTCGGATGGTAACCGTGCACCCAGCCACCTGCTTCTGGTCTTTTCCACCATTTCCAAATTCCTTTTAATTATTTAGGGAAACCCTACTTGAGACTTGTTTTATATTGCCCCACTTTACTCCTGAATGCACAAGCCCTTGTATTGTCACGAGTGGGCTGTGATTTTGGGGTGTATAATGGAACCATACCACATTTCCATTATGCCTTTCTATCTACAGAACAAAACCAGATCATCAATTTTTAATGAAATTGTTAGTGTGACTGCTAGTACTTCTAATAGACCTTTCCTCTTCATTTTCAAACTTTTTATAAACTGCTTGAGATTTTTATTTTTACAAAAATATTTTCTTCTTTTTGCAATTTCATACTTTCAAAGGTTTTCATCAAAATTACACAAATCTTCAGATTGCATCTGGCGCAAGTGTGTTAGTTAACTGTTCATTGCTGCATTCAAACCCTTGAGATGTGAGGTTAAGAGGAAGATGTCTTTATTTCACTTAGGGCTTCAGAGGTGTCCCTCCATCACAGCTCACAGCATCGTGGTCAGGAAGCAGGCAGGAAGGCAATGCCTTCACCGAGAAGCATTTGTTTCTCAAAGGAAATGTTAGCAATTCACTTAGAATAGTCTCCATCACTCACATGATTTAGTAGTATTAGTTCTGCCCCCACCCCCGTGCTTTCTTCATCTCTTCTCTAAACCATGCATTGAATTGATCATTGAGAAGACATCTGCCCTATTCCCACTGCCTTCCTGGACAATGCAGATAAAGATAAAACGCATAGACTTCACAATCGGGGTGCTGAGGAGTTCGGGACATTTCTGCATGGTGATTGCTTTCGTGTCCTTCCTTGCAGAGAAAAAGGTGAAAAAATCTGACTGTGGAGAATGGCAGTGGAGCGTGTGCGTCCCCACGAGTGGGGACTGTGGATTGGGCACCCGCGAGGGCACTCGCACTGGCGCCGAGTGTAAGCAGACTATGAAGACGCAGAGATGTAAGATCCCTTGCAACTGGAAGAAGCAGTTTGGAGGTCAGTCTCACCCTGTGCTCCTATCGCTTTAGGCTACGAGCATGAAAGTCTTTTGGAATATGTCTATCAAATTTATTTTTCAGGCCAGTTCACATTTATGTTACATTAAATACATTATTTCCTTAGACCCAAGGTGACCAGAGAGCTTGCCTCTCAGATTCATCACTAGTGATATTAGGAGATGGGTTTTGGCTGTCTTTGTTTGTATTTCTCCTGTACATCATACGATAATTAGCAACACCCTTGTCATCTACCAGTTTTTTTTTTCTTTTAACCATAATACAGAAAAACTAGCCAAATGTCATTTGGTAGTCAAAACTATTTGTAGTTAAGAATCATTGCTTATACAGGCACAAAACACGCCCTGGTGCCCTCCCAAAAATGTTCCCGTTCCGTCATCACTTTCTACTTTCCCTTTTTGGTGTTCTGATAGATCTGCTTGAGACAAGTTCTCTCAACACTTTCAGCTTTATTTCAATATTCAATATTTCCATCCTTAACCCATTATTCAACATTTACATCTTTAACCATACATATCCATCTACAAGCATGTGTGTGTTTTGTATTGTGTAGTGTTCATGTGCACTTGTGTGTTTGTGAGTGCATATTTGTCCAGGTCACATGTGTGAATGCCAGAGGTTGATGCTGTGTGTCTTCCTCTGTTGCTCTTATCTGCCTTTTCTGAGGCTGGGTCTCTTGTTGAATCTGGAACTCAGTGATTCCACTAAGCTTACCACAGAGATCCCTGTCTCTGACTTCAGAACACTGGGATTACAGCTGGGTTGTTACATCTGCCCAGCTTTTTATGTGGATTCTGGGGGCCAAGACTCTGATTCTCATGTGTGTGTGAGGCAAGCCCTTTATCCACTGAGTTATCTTCACAGTGTTCCTCTGCCAATTCAAAAATCCAAATGGCTTTCTCTTCTGCATCATCCACTTTGTGTTTTTTCCTGACCACCATGGGACATAATGACCATGGTGTCCTACCTGTCCCTTACAGAAACACACTGTAGCTGAAATGCGAGTAAAGACGGAGGATGCATGTGTGCGCATGTACCCTGACTTCTGTAACTTTGGAGCACGTATTTATGAATGGCTTTAACTGCCACGATGGCAATAGAGTTCACATAAATTAGACTTTAACTAGTATGGGCCACTGCTAAGACTCACTTATAAAAAGTTTGCGGGATGTGTCTTAAAGGATTCATATCATGAACATCTATTTAAATCTCAAAAATCAATATAGAATCAAAGCAAGCAAGCAAACCAACAACCCTAACTATCCAAGAAGATAGTTAGTAAATATCAACACACACGTTTTCTCAAGAGACATACAACAATGAATAGACACCCGGAAAGATAATCCATTTTTCTGTCCCATTAAGGGAAGAAAGAGTGAAACCCTGGTGACATATTACTATGTGCCCATCAGAATGACTGGAGTAGAACATTATGATACCCAATGCCAGTGAAGATGCAGAGATGCTAGGGCCTGTCTTTACTGTCCGTGGAGATGAAGAATGGCACAGCCATCCTAAAAAAAAAGAATATTACTTTTTAGAGGTGTTGCTTGTTCTATGTTTGTATGAAATTGAACATGACTTGCGCTTACCATGTAACTCAGCAGTTTCTTGGGCTTTTTATTCCGGGGTGGGGGAAACATTTTCACAAAACCCCTTCCATGAATATATAACATTTGCATATGTTATATATGCATATATGTATATTTTGGACAAACTATAGAAGCAGTCCAGGCATCTTTCAGCTTGTGAAGGTATAAATAACCTTTGATATATCTGTTTCATAGACGGTTACTCAGCTGTATAAAAGTAGATACTGTTGATTCACTTGAGTTGATCACCAGAAACGTACGCTAAGTAAAGAAATAGCCAGTCTCAGAGCCAGAGAGATGCTCAGTTGTTAGGAACACCTGTTGTTCTTGCAGTGACCTGAGTTCATTTCCCACCACCACCGTATGGTGGCTCACAACCATTAGCTATTCCAGTTCAAGAGGCTTGTACACTATCTTCTAACTTCTGTGGCTGCCAGAGTAGCCAAACATACCAGTTTACACAGCTTAAAATCTCATCTCCAGAATGAAATGAGCTGGAGAAGAGAGTTGTGATTGTAAGGAATGTAAAAGGTAAGAGGACTGTGACAGTGGGCCCCTTGCACTGGGACTTGTAATGGGTATACATACCCATTGATGGTGTTTATCACATGCATTTACATGGATAGAACTAGACATGTTCATGCATAGGAAACTGAAGAAATCTGCCTACACTCTTGAAAATGTATCAATTCCCATTTTACAGGATAGGTTCACAGTTATTCAAAATGCCAAAGCTGGGGGGGGGCAGGGATTGGGCGAAAAGTATATGGAATGTCCCTGTGTTGTTTCTTAATAACTGCCTGAGAATGTACAATGGCTTAAATCCAAAATCTGGACATCAAAATTGCACCTTTATTATCACCTCAGTAAGCTCTCTTAATGATTTTTCTTTCATCTTGTCATGCTTTGTAGCTGAGTGCAAATACCAGTTCCAGGCCTGGGGAGAATGTGACCTGAATACCGCCCTGAAGACCAGAACTGGAAGTCTGAAAAGAGCTCTTCACAACGCCGACTGCCAGAAGACAGTCACCATCTCCAAGCCCTGCGGCAAACTCACCAAGCCCAAGCCTCAAGGTAAGAGGCTGCCACTCTGACAGCTTTCATAGACTGGGAGAGGCAGATGAAACCCAAATATTCCAGGAGAGAGTGTTAGGACAATGACTGAAAAATGCCCACTTGTGAGTTCCACAGCATACTCTCTGTAGATAGTCTCTGAGTTCAAACTGATGTTCTCTGCAGACGTGAACACCTCGGGGGTTAGGAACTGAACAGGAATACAACTGAATGCCTCAGCAATCCATGCCAGTTAAGATGGCTGTTGCACGGATTACTTCTGTCTCAGTTTTCAAATTGAGACACGATAAATAAACTCACACGGTTCGTAATGCAGAGATCTTTCAATCAGGCCACTCTCAGATTATCTATAATGTGATTTTCACAGACTCAGAAAAGACATGGTACCTATTCCTTCCCTCTACTATGTGAGATGATAGCCTTTATATGTCTTGGACTTATTTCAGAGCCTTTAAAAGCTTGAGGTGTTTCAGCCTCCACACCCATTCATCACAGAATTTTAAAACTGTGCAGAGTTACTTATTCCCAGAATGCCAGGCTCTATATTAATGGTGGAGATGGTAAAGCAGAACCATATAGCCGTGGTTTCATGCAGATGAAAGGCCCGCCGGAGGAAGCCCAGGAGGTGGTCAATCCTTTCATTTCATGGCTAGATGGACTGAATTCTGTCTACTCCAAATCTGTATTTCCAAGTATTACCCCCGACCCCAGTATCTCAGAATGTGACTTTATTTATAAGTATGGACTTTCAAGAGGTAGGTAAGTTCAAATGAGGTCACAGGAATGGGATCAAATCCAATATGGTCGATGTTCTAATAAGAGGAGATTAGAAAGCAGACACATAGAGAGGGAGGGCCATGTGAGGACATGGTGGGAGGTGCGGAGTGCCAGCCACAGAGAGAAGTCTCACAGAAAACCAGGTCGGTCCAACACTTTGATCTCAGGTTTCCAGTCCTTAGAATGGTGAGCGAGTACATGCCTATTATGCAAGCTACCTGTGCTGTGCGTGGTGCTTCATGCGGCTCCCACAGACAATTCATGCCGCATGCTTCAATGAAATCCAATTGAAAATATCCCCTTGACCTCTCCTTGTACTTGACTCTCAAAATTACATTTGAAAATTCATCCTGCTGGATTCATTGGAGAAATCCAGATAAATGCTGGTGATTAGCCAAAGTAAGAAAAGAGAAATCCCCCGGAAACCGACGGCGGCTGGTGCTTTATACTGATGACCAGAGAGGGTTCTTTCCACGTGCCAAGGTTTCCATCATTTGATGCAGTTGGCAATGGCAAGGGCTACCTCCAAGTTCAGGACAGCTAGGTACTCTAGGACCTCAGATGCTAGAGTTGAGGTTTGACTGCCTTCCAGCGGAGTGTCTACCAACTCTCTACCTGTTGCTTATCTAGACAATGCCAGATTTAAAAACAAACAAACAAAAAAAATAGGAGCCATTTTCAGAAAGGAAGTTCATAGATTCAGTCTTCAGACTGACTTATTTTAAAGTGGTAATTGAACCCAAACCTACAGCATCCATAGAGAACTGCAAGGGAGAAAAACGTAAGGTGTCCCCTATGGTTCTCTGCCTGAACTGTACGCAAGAGCCTGCCGAGGGAGCCATGAAAATTCCTACTGCCCCAACTTTGTCAGACCTACCAGATTACACCTGGTAGTTCCAACAGGATGAATGATCCTTAGAAGATTTTTTTTTTTTTTTTTTTTTTTTTTTTTTTTTTGGTTTTTCGAGACAGGGTTTCTCTGTGGTTTTGGAGCCTGTCCTGGAACTAGCTCTTGTAGACCAGGCTGGTCTCGAACTCACAGAGATCCGCCTGCCTCTGCCTCCCGAGTGCTGGGATTAAAGGTGTGTGCCACCACGGCCCGGCCTCCTTAGAAGATTTTGTTATAGTGTCGAAATTGAATGTACCCCTGTTTAGTGTGAAATCCATTGACCAGAGAAGAGGTGCATACACACATTGTCCCTGTGGCGGTGGAGGAGGGGAGATAAAGTTTGATAAATGGAGAGAAGAGGTGAGAAGGAGTCCAGGGTGATGGTGACCTTAGTGAATAGAAAAACTGTCAAAAACCTTAATAGTCCACAATGAAAAAGATCCTTAAGGGCATTCAATAAACACAATACAAGAAGTTCTCTTTTTTTGTTTTTTTTTTTTTTGTTTGTTTGTTTTTTTTTTGGTTTTTCGAGACAGGGTTTCTCTGTGGTTTTGGAGCCTGTCCTGGAACTAGCTCTTGTAGACCAGGCTGGTCTCGAACTCACAGAGATCCGCCTGCCTCTGCCTCCCAAGTGCTGGGATTAAAGAAGTTCTCTTTTTACTGTTGAATCTTTAGGTTATTTTTCTTTTGTTATTTAGTGACCGTTGATGACTAGATGTGTTTCTCACATTCAACTTTCAATCTATCTAGTGCTAAAAATACTTCAAGTGGATAGTCTGTAACATTTGTTCATATTAAATAATGAAGGCATATAATTTATTTAGAATGGATTAGCCTGAGTGAGTCTCATACTTCAGAATATCTTTTAGGCATTTTATAGATCATAGGTCACGCAAATATAATCTTCCCCTTGCATTGAAGAGGCCATTGTTAAAAGTCCAATCCTGTCCATCTAAAGCAGTAAAAGATTTTATAAACATTTTTTTGTACTGCACATTTTTCTGCACAAAGAATAAATGTTACTGTAGATGAGCTGGGGGGATGTGTCAGACTGGAGACTTTTATTTTTCTTAAAAAATGGGATACACAAGCACATTCTGCCGTGAGTCTTTCTTTGTTTAAATAAAATGCAACCAGGGACACTCAGGAGTTGCATGTATTTCCATGCTGCTTCTCAAATAACGGCGGCTAGATAGTCTAGCTTCCTTCTGCACATCTTCAGCCTTGAGGCAGCTCATTTGCTTCAGGTTGCTGGAAAAGCAGGTGGTACCAAGTGAGAACCTCCATGGCCATTATCACGCTTGTTTCCCCTCCCTCACTTTGCTCTTTGTACTGTACAGACATTATGTCATAAGGGCCCATGCAACCTTATTAGAGAGGAGACAAATACTGGATACTGCGCTTGGCCAGTGGTGTATCTCTCAGGAATGACATAGTCAAGATTTGGCAAGCTCTGCGTTCATAACTCCCTCTTCTGCCTGCTCATACATTATGGAAACTACGCTAATATAAACTAAGCACTGCAGCTGTGTAAAGCCCCGTGTCAGTGGGCTGAATGGGAGATGGTATCTGCCCTTCCACACCCAGACTTTGTTTCTAAGAGTCTCTATGGCTTGTAATCCACAGAGCAGGCAATCAGGCCTTCCTCAGATGGACATGGGAGATATTGCTCCATGCTACCTCCCATCTTGTCAACTCATAAAACTTTTATCACATGAGGTATTTTATTCTTCAGTCTAGACTATTAAATGGCAGAGCTTCTGGGAAGTTGCCTAGTATCTGATCTAGCCTTGGTGTAATAAATAAACACAGCAATCATTTGATGGCTCAGCCACAGCCATCCTGCCTGGTGTCTAAAAGCATAGCCCGAGGTCTAGCTTTGCTCTTGTCTTCTGGATACACTTTCTTTTCTTTATACATGAGACCTACCTGATTGAAACTTTTTAATAGCTTTCAGACTTTCCAAAATAAATAACGTATGATATTGTGGTCTTGAGGAAAATGAACAATCATTAAAACATGTTTAATTATTTCAAATACTTGAGTCTCTGAGGATATAGCTTGATTCTTTGTTTTCCCAGTCTTTAGTTCCTTCACCAAACACATGGCCAGGCTTAGTTTTTAAGTTTTATGTTGTTTTTGTTTTTTTTTTTTTAGCAATCTCCTTTTTTTCGTCTTCCTTCCTCCATCCCTCCCTCTTTCTTCTTTCTTTCCTTTCTCTCTTCTTTCTTTCTTTCTTTCTTTCTTCATTTCTTTCTTACAGTTTAGTTCAGAAAACACTCAGGTTAATATGAAGACTATGTAATTAAATTTCAGAATGGAACATGGTTGTTGGTAGAACTTTGAATACTCACGACTAATTTGAAGAAAACCTGGAAAATGTCTTTGAGACTTTACTGCTGCTAATAAGGTAAAAGATTAGAGTAGCTGATAAGAAAATAAAGGAACCTATAGTGTCTAGAGTTCCTAACAAAACAATTGCAAAACTGCTAACTAGACCACTCAGGCAAAAATTGTGTTAAAATTCATTCCAGTACATTCTGTCAACGCAGCCTTTCAAAATGTAGAATGGGTACTTGCTGCTGCTTTGTTAATATTATGCAAATTCTACCCTTCAGGCTAAGCCCACAATCTCAATGACATAGGGTATCGTCTTAAATCTCTTAAATGTGGATTCCCACATTTGCCTGTGGGAAACACTCTTAATCCAAAGAGAATGTCAGCATTGTATACTCAAAAGAGAGGGGTAACAAAGGGATATATTTGGTACATCAAGTGGGCATAGTTTTCCTAGGGGTCCATCCAGGCAGTGTTGCTCTTAAGATGGGCAGATAAAATCAGAACTTACTTAATTATTGCCAGCCTAGCAGTGACAATTAAGGGAATAAATATATTGGAGACTACAACTTTTATTTGCTTAGGAAAGAAAAGAGTTTTAATCAGGAAAACCCTGTATTGGCTACTGATTGTAGGTGTATTAAGCTCCACACCAGTTGGCTAAGCAGAAGGAAGTCTATTCAAGGGTTTTATATAGTTCAAAGACTCTCTGGGAGCCCAGTGGATCTGGCCTGGACCGTGCAAGGCCAGTAACAATACAGCCAAAGGCAACAGATCCAGTAAAAATATCTAACTACCCCACAAGGAATTGTTCTAGCAAAATCTCTTCTACGGAAAGTACATCCTACTCAGTGCATGCAATGCAATGACTCAAAGCCTGAAAATCTGAGTAGCTTGTTTACCAAATCAGACCCTTCTACCTCCACCCCTCGTGTGTGTGTGTGTGTGTGTGTGTGTGTGTGTGGTGTGTGTAAGCATCCAATATCTCCAAATGTGG